CTTATTAACTGGCATTAATAAAACAAAACATAGAATGATGTTCTTAATGTTCTTTTAATAAAATATCTTTTAAATAAGAGTTAATGCAATGGAGACAAGGATTACAAAATGAGTAGCAAGAGGCTTTATATTTTTCAAGAAAATGGATAATCTTATGTATAAGGAAAGATGGAAATTGTCCATCTTTCCTTATACATAATACAAAAATACATGGAAATTATTAGGTCCTTCAAATGTACGACTGATGGCTGGCAGTTTAGAAACCAATGAATAAAGATCAAACTGCAAAAGAGCTTACTGCAGGAAAGAATTCAAAAGCTCTTATTTGAATGTACTCAGCCTCAGTCCTTGAAAGGATCCCCACTACGTGTGAAGGTACTCCCTCCTAACTCCCCAAACCAAGAGGGTTTTGGTCATTGCAAATGGCTTTCTAACTGGAATTCCAAATCTCTTCTGCTACATAAGAAACCACTAAACTACCTTATTCATCCATGCATTCATTTATATGCCTGTTGATTTGTTCATTCATTTCCTTCCCTCATTTTGCTTACAATGCATGTTTGACAAAGATTATTTTTGTTTGTCCACTAGAAAAGTGCCTGCCACATGATGGATGCCCAATGAATGTGGACGATATTTGAACTAACTCATCCTCTCTTTTCTCACGTGCTTGCTGAACGCCTATTCTAAGACAGCTTCCCAGTGGCTCACACTGGGAGGAAATTCCATTGCAAATAAAGATAGAAGCACGTTGTGAGAAACCCTGAAGTTAAAAGAGTCAGGCAACGCTTTCCTGCTCTAGGTTTGGTCTAAATCTAAAACGAAAAGATGGTTTAGTGCTTTGCCTACAAGGACGGGGCAGGGGAAATGTAGGTGTCAGGTGAGAAATGAAATGGCTGGGCAACAGTTATCATTATCAAAGTTAGTACTTACAACCCCTATGACGGTGCAAAAGTACTGTATCCTGACCGTTGAGGATACAAAGATTTCTGCATGTAATAAAACTGCAGCACAACACACACACACACATAATACTGAGGTAATCTGCACCAGGTTAGGGAAGTGTACCAGTATAAATTTTCTGGTGTGTTACTGCACCCTAATTTTGTAACATGACCTTATGGAAATCAATGATGGGTACCAGAAACCTCTCTGTACTATGTCTTGCAACTTCAGATCAATCAACAATCATCTAAAATAGAATAAGGCAGTAGGATGCTTATCAAAACATCTTCATGTTAGCAAAACATTGAAATCAAGATAGAATCTCAGTCGCAAAGCACACTCAGTTTGTATAGGACAATTAGAAATAACACAAGCCTGCTGGTGACATGCGAGAGTGTTGACATTCAGCAAGCAAAAGAAGTGGGATTTATAAAATACACAATCACAAGCTCATTTCCTTTTAAAAATGAGAATGATGCACAAAGTATATATCAAAGCACCATCGCTGTCTACCTCTGCCTGTTAGCACCACGGCTGGTCTGGTGTTTCCCATATTGCACTTCCACATTTGAACCTTTTTTTCTCTAAAATGAGCAGTGCTGCATAATAAATATTCAAAAAAAATTCAAGTGTCCTGTGGATGGAGCTCTGGTGAATTCTACACAGCACTGGTGGGGAAAAAATGGGACAAATGGGACAACTACATGGAAAGACATGGCAATTCCATATAAGGATGAATGAACCACCTGTAGGGGTGCAGAGAACATCAACTGCCACCTTATAAAGCCCACAGCCTCTAACGCGAATGGAGTTCACCAAGGCCTGGCAAATGCATTTTTAATAATTACAAGGACCAGTCTGGCTTAGGCAGGCTGGGAGGTTGCACTGCCAGCTGTCTTCTAGTTCTTGAATGCTGTTTGATTTTGCAATGAATTTAACAGATTCTACCTCTCATTTTAAAAACCCTTTTCAGGTTTTAAAGCACTTTCACAAGTGCAGGCTTATATTAATTTAAGCATTGTCCTTAAGAAAAAAAAACCCTGTCCCTGTAACATTTCTCTCTGGGTTAGGCAAGGCAGGCATCATTACCTCCATTTTACTGAAGAGAAATCTGAAGTAACCAGAATAATCCTTAATCTGAAGGGAAGACAATGATTAATGATGAGATTGTGGTTCCTCTCTCTTGATTCGGAGTTCCATCTTTCTTCCCTTTAACAACAACCACCTCTCTTGTTGCAAGGATTTGGATATTGTGTAGATCTGTCCTGAAGATGCTTGCATGACGGGTACCAGTTGAATGCAAGACACAGGTGGATATGCACCAGCAAGTGTAACATCCATGTAACTGCGACTGTGAATATCTACTAACTCAAGGTCAAGTCACTGCTGGTTCATTCAGCTTGGGCTCAAACAGACCCAGAGGCTGATGGGTCTTGCTCAGGGGCTCAATCAGTTCATTTGCCTTGTTCCAGTCAAGAAACCCAAGAGTTAGGCTTGCAGGCCAGTTAAATAGTGAATGGGGCTCACCCTGGGCTTAATGAAGCACGCCTTTGTTACTCAAACCAAGGGAATTAGCAGAGGACTTTTGTATTTATTTTGCAGTGGGCAGCAGATTAAGCACTTGAGCAATAATGTGGCAATTCACCAAAAAAGGTCTTACTTAGGTGCTATCTGAAATCATGAAATTAAGTGGGAAAACAAACACAAGGAAAAGGTTTATATGTTTTATAAAAATAAATCCAAATTTTAGATAAATGATACTCTTCACTAAGTATGTTAAGCACACAACATATTTTCATTGGCCAATGGTGCCATTTACACCCATACATCATTTTTTGTGCCAACCTCTCTGCCCAGTGACCTTCCCCCCACCTCAATTTACTACAAGCTGTTACAGGAGGAAACAGGAAGGTCAAAGAGGCCATTGGCATCTCCAGCAAGCCAGAGAGCCCCCAAGAAGAAACAACACAGTTCATGATGTCGAATTTTCCCTAAATTTTAAAAACATACTATCTTTTGGGGAGAGTGGCATTGTGATGCTGTGGGATAAATGGCAACCTACAATACCACCACTAGCATCTCATGCTGGAGCACTGGTTTAATTCCTGCCTGCTCCTCTTCTAATCCAGTTCCCCGCTACTGTGTCTAGAAAGGCAGTACAAGATTGCCCAATGACTTGACCCTCTGTCACTCATAGAGAAGACCCAGATGGAGTTCCTCCTGCCTGACCCAGCCCTACCTAGGGAGGCCATCTGGAAAGTGAAGCAACGGACACACAATTTCTCTCTTTCTCTGTCACCCTGCATTTCCAACAAATAAAACTTTAAAAACAAAGGAAGGAGGGAATGGATGCTATCTTCTAATGACATAATAAGGTTACTTTGGAAAATGTAGAGTTCACTTGGGAATAGCTGAAAAAAAAAAAAAACAGAAACTCGGTGGGACTTGACAGCACATACAATGAGATGAAAGCAGGGATTAACTAAAGAATGACTGAGGAAATCAGTGTACCTAGGTGTCGCAGACACTTGAAATGCTTCTTCCTAGTTATACAATATTCAATCTGCAAATACTCTACCTATTGACTCATTCAACAGCTGCTGACCTCCTGTCCTATGCCTGGCACTACTCTAGGAAGCATAATTATTCTGCAGTGACTCAAATTCACAAAAGTTCCAGAATTGATGAAAGTCACATAAACCCAACAGGAAAATGAGGTAGGAGAAAGAGAGCTTGAGGTAGACGACTTCGATTTTAATCCTGGCCAGATGGCTTTAAGCAAATGTATTTAATCTCTCCGAGTCTCACTCAGTTCCCTTACCTCTGCATGGAATATAATATCAGTTTTCATTATATCAGTTTTTACTAGGAAAAAATGCTAGTTTATATGTGAAAAAAAGTAACTTATCCTTTGGTCTTGAAGAAAGTAAGGTAGTTGATGAGGCATAAAAGGTTTGTCCTCATTAATGAAACCTTCAAAATACTTCAGTCCATATTTTCCATGATCTAAGCTTTCTGGTTTAATGTTAACCATGTGTAAGGCTCGCTGGGTCGTGATAAGGTCACTCTTCCATACCTAGCCACCAATTTTAAAGCCTGTTATATAGGCTTAAGATGCCACAATTATGTACATTTCCCTTTACTGTGGAAGGAAGTTGGACTTAAAGGGCTATCTTATATTGGTCATTTCATTGCAAAATTTACAGAGATGCTATTTCTTTAGAAACACACTCATTGTAACTGATTCCTGTTAAAACAGCAGCAGCCAACAAGAAAAACCTTCGCAGTGGTTTCCCTCCACCCACCCACTGTTATTCTAGGATGTTACTATTCATTGTGAGGGGGGAAATGAAAGTTGGGTATCAGTGCTTGTGCCACAGGACCCCAGGAATGACCAAACCCAGCACTGCTCTGCAGTTTATTCAACTGAAGAAAGCAATCAATTCTGATCCCGCCTTCCTTTACCCATGCTAACTTGCCATGAAGGGGTGTGTGGAGCCGGGAAGCAGGAAAAATCTCAACTTATTTCTCAGTCCAGCAAATCAGACTTCTCTGCAAACTAAAACGTGCTAACCTTGAGATTCCGAGAGCCGACACAAATCAGGTATTGTCCACAAGCAACAACAAACATAATCAGCAAAGTTACATTCACAATTAGGGAATGCCTCCTTAAGAAATGTTTCCTCCCAACCCAGCAGTGTTCAAATTACCATTGTGCTTAATGAGACCTCTGCCTTGTGGCTGCCTCAGACTTCTGCAACACATTCATGGATATCTAGTGTGGCCCATAAAACACAGATGTAAAACCTCTCCTGCTACATTGACTTTTTTTTTTAATAACAGATGTGGAATACATTCAGATGGAGATACCAAAGTTAGAGTTGAAAAAAAAAAAAAGAAATATTGTCTCAGCAATGACTAGTAGGGTGTTAGTTAAATTACTCATTCTCTGGGCTCCTTTTCTCCCCCCCCCCCATCTTCCCTAGCTCTTACCTTCCCCACCCTCAAAGAGTGGTCAGAAGAGCAAGATGACAAAAGCAAAGACTGGTACTCACTTCATCTCCAGGATCTCTTCCAGCTGTTTCCTCCGCTCTATCCGAAGGTTGGCCAAGTGGGCTTCTTTCTCAGCCAGGGACTGCTGGGTGGAGGCGAGGCGGGCTTTGGTGGCATCCAGTTCTTGCCTGGTCTTCTCCAGCGTATTCATCAGTTCCTCTATCTGAAAGGCACGCGGAAACCTGGGTGTTAAAGTCCCTTCATTCAACCGCAAGGCATTCCTTGCTAACCTGTGTTCTGATGATTCATACAAAGAAACGATAGTAGTCTTTGAATTAGGCACAGTGTCTTGGAGGGCCTTCTTTGCCACTGATTAAAAATAAATGTTCCAAATGGACATACACACACCAGTCCAAATTTCTCTGAGACACATACTCAGTTGGAGTGCCCACAAACCTTTGTAAAAACTGTCTAATGTATTTATTAGAAGTAGGGGGTAGTGACTTGACTGACATCAACCTGTATTTGGTGAAAATCTCACATCACTTCCTCACAGTTGGGAGGAAGGCAACACTTTGAGTGCATTTTTGCACAAGACAATACACTTTTGTGTGTTGGGCCCAGAGTAGCTTGACAGGAAGTTAATCCACGTGTTTTAGAGTCATTCATGTTTTTTAACTATCAAGTTTTGGTTTGGCACAAGCTGTTTGATGTCCAAGAGGCCTCAGGAGTCCTTCTTACCTCACCTTGCCGCCTTCCATACAGGAGGCAAGGTCTGGCCAAAGGTAAACAGAAAGCCAGCCACAAAAGGTTCAACTTCGGTCTGCTCCCGAAGTTTGAGAGGGTTCTAAACTTGAAATAAATGACATGTAACTTTTATAGAGTGCTAATACACCATAGAAATAAGCCAGACTATCAGATATCCATGATTTTCAGCCAGGTTCCCCTCCAAAAAATAAAAATGGGACTAGGAGTCTTAAAGCAAGGCTTCTCCTTCCTAAAGCCATTGGGGACTTTAGAAAAACCTAACACACAACAAAGAGGGTTGGTTCTCATGATTATGTTCCAGAGCCTTCCATGGAGCAAGCTGGTGAAATGCCATCCCTTGCACATGCAGGACTAATCCACCCTGCCAAGTCAAAATTGTGGTTCCAGGAAGTTTCTAGATTCCAGGGCTGATATTTGGGTTTCTAAGTCACCCCTTGTAGCTGAACTTGGCACAATGGACTCATCTATCACTAAAGTCAACACAGCACCCTTCATAATGTGTCAATGACATGTTAAGTTCCAATTCATAAAGATTTTCTACGCAATTTCTGCAGTTTTACATGGAATTTATTCAGAATAAGCATTACTGCCCACATCTAAGGTAAATCCTATGCTTTTAAGACTCAGACAAACCATCCTTCTTGCCCTGATAAAAAGAGGAAACTTAATGACTATGAAATTGAAAGCCAAAACCAAAAACAGTTTTGAAAGTGAGGAATATAAAAGATAACCTGTGAAAGTCACAGAAACACACCTACCGAACAGCAGAATAAACACACAGTTTAAAAGAGCTGATCATGAACACTTCAGTAGTTTATGTAAGTTCATAGAACCTCACGCATGAGGACTAACAGTCCCCTACCAAGAATCCATGTTGATGCCAAAGAACAATTTTTTGTTTTCTGCCTTATCTATCTATCTATCTATTTATTTATTTATTTATTTATTTTTATTTCAATCTGCTCAGTAACTGGTGCCAAACACACACACACACACACACACACACACACACACACACACACACACACACACACACACACACACACCAGAGCTAGTCCAGCCTGAGTACCTGACCCTCCAAATGAGATGGCCTGTGTTCTCATGACATCCTGTGCTGTCACAAACCATTCACCAAAGAGGGAGCAAGTCTCAGTTGCTGAATCTGTCTTGTGACTGGAGACTCACTTATCTGCGATCCACAGGCAAAGATCTAATCCCTAGGCTTTTCATGTGTGCAGCACACCCACCAGACTGGCTGGGGGCAGACACCAACTAGTTTTATACCAACTCTACTTTCAACAGTTTACACTCTGATGTATATAGCGTGCAGGCTGTTTCAGCGATTGTGACAATACCCACGTGGGAAAAGTTGAGCACCCAAGAGATAGAACCAAGAATTTTCCCTCATGGAAATGTCATTTTGGCTTCCACAAATAGCTGGCAGTATCAGCTACGATTGTGATGCTCAACACCTCTGTAGCCAAGTTTTGAAAGTGGTTTCCAGGCCAAGGCTTCCCAATGCACACCAATTCCTGGGGCCCTGAACAGTGAGTGCAGCACACTGAAGACCACACTGGGCTAATTACTATGCTGCCCAGATGAAGAGGGCATTGCAGGGCAGACATGGTTTCCTGGTTGTGATGGTGACTGGGGCGATTCAAATACTTCAGTTCTTTTCTCTAGACGCACATGACAGGGATCATACTTTCTTCTCCCTTTAAGTCAGGTATGACTTTTGCCACTAAAACAATTATTACTTCCAGACAGCAGCATTTTAATGCTAGCCTTCAACTTCATCTTTTCCTTTTCCATGCTGTGGTGACTGTGGACGCGTGTTCAGTTAATGTCCCTCCCACCCTAAGCCAGAGTCCCTGAGTGAACACAATGAAGCCCATGACCAAGCCACATCACATAAGCAAAACACAGACCATTACTATGCAACACCAAAGACTGGAATCTGTCTGTTACTTCCAGCATGGCCAGGCCCACCTTGGTCTCTCAAACTATCCAATTTATTATAGAGTGCTTTGGATTCTTTGCTCTCTTCCCACCATATATCCCCTCCTTTCAAAAGGAAATTGATTGGTAGTTTTGCTTTTCCTTGGGAGTTATACTCTTTCTGGCCACTTCCACCTTGCTGTCTTTTCTTAGTGTGTAGCTACCAATTGCATGATTTTTAAAAAAAGAACAATTTGGGGGCCTGGTGAGATAGCCTAGTGGCTAAATCCTTGCCTTGCATCTATCAGGATTCCATATGGGCACCGGGTTGTACCCTGGCTGCTTCCCATCCAACTGCATACTTGAGGCTTGGGAAAGCAGTAGAGGATGGCCCAAAGTCTTGGAAGCCTGCACCCATGTGGGAGACCTGGAAGAAGATTCTGAGTACTGCCTTCAGCTCCAGTCATTGTGGCCACTTGGGGAGAGATCCAGTAGATGGAAGAGCTTTCTCTCTGTCTCTCCTTTTCTATGTTTATCTGCCTTTACAATAAAAAAAAAAACTTCCAAATAAATTATTCTCTTCTTTTAAAAGACAGAACATGCAGACATATACACACACACACACACACACACACACACACACACACACCCCTCTTACATCCACTGGTTTACTCTGCAAATCCAATGCCCACAGCAGTCAGGGCTGGGCCAGGATGAAGCCAGGAGCCAAGAAATCCATGTGGGCCTCCCACATGCGTGGCATTGGCCCAACTCCTTAGGCCATCTTCTGCTACTCTCCCAGAAATTTTAGTAAAATTTGTACTTGGATGTGAAGTGGAATAATTGGGACTTCAATCAGCAATCTGCATGGGATGTCAGCACTGCCAGCCAGGGATTAGCCTATTGTGCCACAATATCAGTACCACCCATCAGAGTCTTAACCATCACCCCAAACTTTATCTGTTTTTTTCATTGATGGAAATTTTAACGGAATCTATATACAGCAGTGTGTGTCTTAAAATTCATCGAGCGAGAGTCGTGGCATCACCTACTGTGCAATGGAGATAAGTCCCTTCTCTCTGCTTTAGTTTTCTCATCTGTAAATGGCACACAATGCAGTTCACCTTTCAGAGTTCTGTGGGTACACATTTAGTGAGCACATTAAGTAAGACGATATAGGCCATAAGACAAATACTGTTCCCACTGATATCAAGAACCTACTTTTTTCTGATAGGAATAAGATAAAGAATATGGGTTTCTTGAAATTGACTAAGGCTTTTTCTTTTACTAAAGATTAAATAATATTTTTAGTAAAGAACTCCTAATTCCTACTGCCTACAGAAAAACATTATAAATTCTTTCTTATACTATCTCCATGTTTGTATATTTATCCAACTGAGATTTTATATAAAGCAAAGCAAATATATAAATTTGTAAATAATCACATTTTTCATGCCCCTCCTGGAAGGTGAGGACACAGCAACAAGTCAGCACTCTGTAACTCAGAAGGGCGTCCCCACCACTACTCCAGCTGGCCTCAGGAGCTTCAGACTTTGCAGCCTCCAGAACAACAAGAGAGAAGTGCTAGCCACGCGTAATTCAGTCTAGAGCAACATGCAAGAAACCTTGCTGCCCTGTTTCTTTTGCAAATGCATCTGCTCCCTTTAGCTTGCAGCTGGGTCCTTCCTCCTGTGTGACTCTGTCATAGAGATTCTCCTCACCCATGCAGACATTCAGGTGACAGATTGAGATCTGTCTTGCCAGCTCTCACCTCTATGCAGCTGCCTCACTAGCATTTATCTCCTTTTGCTCACTTGGCCCTGTTCATGGTTTCCTAAGCACCTGCCAATTACTTCCACTTGGATGTCCCAACGTCACTTCCATTGGGGATGACCAAAGGCCAACACTTGGTCCATGCACACTTGCTTAAACCAAATCTGTAGCACCAATAGCATCACCAACCTGCCACTCCTAAACTGCTGCCACTTGGGTCTAGCGCCACAACCTTTCCTCAGTCACTTATGTGTAAGACATCCAAGTCACCTTTGTCATCTTCTTCTATTTTGATTTCCATTCATCATCGAGTCACCACTCTATTGAAAAACATCGTTGGGCCTATCATTCTTCCTTTCCTTCAGCACTTCAAGCTCAGGTCTCTCTTCACCTCTAGCACGTATGACAAGTCTGTAACTAATTCTACAAAAACATACATGAGTATATGCATACATGCATGCGTGAAAACCTGTGTGATATGTGTATGTGCTCCCAACCTCTATCCCTGCACCTACCTCAAGAGAGATCATAGTTGTCACTTCTCAGCTTCTTCCCTACAGAGCACTTCTTTTTTCTTCCAGCCAAGTTTGCTCCTGTTTACTTTGGGATTTTATGAATCATAACTAGCAAGTAGTCAGCAACATGGAGCTAGCCCTCTGGGTGCAAAATGATGGGCACTGCAGATCAGGCTGAAGTGATCTCTACAACAAAGTAGGAGAAAGAAGGAATGGGACGAAGAGGAGG